GTTTCCCTCCAACACCATCTCCATCAGATACATGATGCTTGGGAGGTATGACTGTTTAAGTGTTTTTGGTCGATAAGCTTCTGTAATTAGGCCCCATCATAATTGTCAGCACCAGGCCCACTGGGCTCTTAATCTGGCCCTGGTAACGAGTAATTATTCATGAAAACTCCAAAACTCAAAACTTTGTCAAATATTCAAACTTAATACCTGTACCAAAAAGTGTGGGCTTCCTTTAAGATCTATAGTTTGAGAATTGCTGCCTTCTAGATTATGAGATGTCTACATATTCCTAACCATTCAGAACAAAAGTGTTCATTTCCAGAGCATTTTCACTAAAAACATACGGAGTGTCTAATTCTATAATTCTATAATTAAGTAATCCCATGACATGCGCACAGTCGTTATTCGGCTTGTTGCATATTTCACTCCCCAAAAACCTGCCAATAAACACAGACACCGTATTTCTGTTGGAAATATAAAAGTCCACAGCTTTATTTTATTGTAATCAAAACAAGATAACAAATTGGGGTCATTGCCGCATAATAATAATTTAATACAATCCCCTTCTGCACAAAATTACCCCTGGCAATGACCCCATCCATAAACAATATATAACAATATAATAACACATATATATAACACACGGCCCACCAAAGAGGCCCCATAACCATAACTTCCTTAACCAAGACACCCCTACACCACCAGGTTCGGAGCCACCGACAAGCTCGAACCAACAGACCACTTACCACTCTGGCCTAATCCAGCCTAACCTTAGCCTATCCACTTGATACTCCTCTTCCATCCCCCTTACCTATCCCGCCACAGCCCGAGACTTGGTATCTTAACGTCTCGCGCACCCCCCACCACACAGAAATAGGACCCGAGCTATACCTTCCTGAAAACCTAAATTCAACAAGTCACACCCCACCTCCGAAAGGTGTACCCCATCCCTAGGGAAATATCCTGGCAGCATACCTTCTAGTTCCCAATGCCGCACCGGAACCCCGCCAAACCTCCGGATGAAAGCTGACATTGCTTTATTAACTTTTCCCCGGCAACGAACTACGGCAGCTGGATCGCTAGCGTGTCTCCAATTGAATCGGGGCACCATCTCTGACCATACCACTACCACGCTAGGAATCAGCTCCCGCAGCCGGTCCAAATCCCGCTTCATCCTCCTCATCAATTCCCTTTTGGGAACAGAACCTAAATCATTGCCCCCACCATGGATTAGGATTATATCCGGGAAGGCCCCTCCCGAAATTCTCCTGAAAATTTCTCCGCTAATGCTCTGCCAGCTGAAGCCCCTAAATCCAAACCACCGCAACTCCACCAGTTCCAGAAGAAAACCCAGCTGTGTTCCGTTCCTCCGAACTGCGGCTCTCTTCTGTGCCCAATACACGTATGAGTGACCCACCAGCCAAGTGACCAAACCTGAAAATAAACAAAATCAGTTACTGTGGAGGGCAGTAACCCCCTCCCCCGCCGTCCTGTGGCCCACCTTTATACCAACCCGTCTGGCCTTACGTATGAACGAAACCGGATGGACTCCCACCTACCTATCTGTTTAATCCGTTCGTCACCCAATCCCAGACGAGCTGCCTCCGTTGCAGCCCCTATGCGAAATGAATGCGTACCGAATTGCATGGGCTGGAGGCCCAGCTTTTGTAGCCCCATCCGAAATACCTGGATAAATTGAAAACGCGACAGTGCCGAGCCATCCTTATGAACTAAAAAACATCCTGCCATACCCGGGCGTATGCTTAGGAACTTGATCCCGCCCGCCACTGGGCAGGCATCTGACCCCGGCAACGAGAACAGGACTATCTTCTTACCTCTCCCAAAAATGTCCGTCTTGGAGCATCTCAGTTGAATCTCGACCCTATCCTGCCCCACCACCACGTCCTCGAGCTGAAGCCCATTCTTTCCTGATTTGTTTTCGCTGACCAACTCACTGATACGAAACGCCCCGAAAAAGGCCCAGACAAACGCTATGGAAAACAAAACCACTTCAAATGATGATGTGCACATATCACTCAACACTCCCACGAGCCCTTGCAGGATGGTAAACGACACCGGCCTCCTTGAGTCCATGATCTTCTTCCCCTTCCGGAAGCCTCGCAAGCCCTGTTTCACCATCTTGGTAAGATCTTCCCAACCATTGAGTTTGAACCAAAAAGCTAAAGCCGCCATATGACGCTCCACCTTAGAGGGAGAGGCCCCACCCGCTAGTAGCCGGCACAACCACCATAATAGCGTGTCCAACCTACCTGCCGCGGAGTCGCCCACTCCCATCTGCCCTACCGTCTCCTCCCAGTCGGTCCAAACTTTGGTGTATGCCGCCCACGTGCCTGGCACCAATGAACTCCTTATCAAGCCCCCAAGCACGATGTCCCGAGCAGCCATATGTCCTCCGGGCACGCCTGTCCTGTTTCCTGTGCGCTCGGTGCTGCCTCCCGAAAACACTCCCACTGTGAACGAGACAGTGCGTCAGCTACAACGTTCAACAAGCCCTGCACATGCCTAGCACTAAAAACGATATTCCATGACATACAAAGGAGAACTAGATGTCTCAATAACCGAATCACGGGTAGCGACGAGGCGGAATTACTATTAATGGCCTGGACCACTGGCATATTATCGGAGTGAAAAATCACCTTCCTGTTCGCCAGCTCCCTGCCCCACAATGCCACCGCCACAACCACCGGGAAGAACTCCAAGAATGCCAGGTTCCTGATCAGTGGGCTTTCCTTCCACGACTCCGGCCACTCCTCGGCACACCATTTGCCCTAAAATACGCCCCAAAACCCACGCTCCCAGAAGCGTCCGTAAATAAACCGATGTCCTCCGACGTTGCCGCTGGGTCCCTAAAAAACACCCTACCATTAAACTCTTGTAAAAAACGTATTTACACATCCAAGTCCGCCTTCATATCAGCCGATACCCTAATGAAGTGACCCGGTGACCTTACAAAACCTCCACAAACTCCCCTTTCCAAATTTTGTCTTTTACCTCGGTTTTTAGATGACAACCTAAAGGACCCGAGAAGGAAACGTGCACGTTTTGCCGTGCCGCATCCGAGATCTCGTCACAAGATTCCGCTCCTTCGCCCGACCCCCCTACCGACCCGCTCATAGTCAGTCCGACATCGCCAGTCCCTGTCCCCACCACTCTATCTGCTAAACTGGGACCCTTCTCTTGGCCCCACACTCTCGAGAACTGCAGAGACGAAACTTCCCTACTCGCCCATGTGTCTAAAAAGGATTTCAAGCAACTTAATAGTGTTTCTGAGTGTGGTGTACCAGGTGACTTACCGCCCAAACTCCCGGCCGCGACAGGCCGCGGGGCCGTCTTCCGTCCATCCGCCGCGCACGGCTCCGGAGTATCCAATAGACACCGACTCCATTTAGCCTGATCCCGCCTCGGGACCGTAGGTGTAGCGCTCCGCGACCTGTAAGGAGAAGAACACCTGGGTAGTCTGCTTGTGTGTCCAGCTACCCGCCCTTCCTCCCTACGCTCCAATCTCTCCACCTCTCCCGCCTCCCCGCATGGCCCTCCTGGCCTCCTGAGTCATGCCGCTGACCCCGTGAACTCCCTTCTGATGACCCTGAGGTGCTGCGCCGGTCCCTCCTTCTACCTTCCCTGCAGCCTGACCTCCTCCTACTGCGCCTGTCACCAGAGGTGTTTCTCTCCCTGGCGCTCCGTGCCCCATACCTGCCTGGTGCCCTCTCCATGCCGTTCCCTGTTTTCCTCCCGCCTGGGGCTGCTTCTACCACCGCAGTGCCCCTGGGAGCTGCTTCTGTGGCCCTCCCGCCCATGCCTAACCCCGCTGACCTCTGCGCCCCCTGATGCCGTGTGTAACTGGGCCCCCTGCCGTGACCCCAGCCCACCTTGGGCCGTCCTTTACGCAGGGGATTCCCAGCGCTGTCCCTGGCATCCAGAGTCCCCCTCCCCTGCAGACCTGGCCTGCCTCTGTTGCCCCATGTGAGTGGGCCCGCCGGCCGCCCCCTGGCTGCTAGGCCCAGCTGCCGTCGTTGTGTCCCTGCTGTTGGGCGCCCCCCCTCCCCCTAAGGGAACAGCCTGCCCATCACTGACAGCCTCAAGCCGCCCAGTTATCACACCGGTGGCCGACTCACCGGGACGCCTCTGGTCTCCTCCTCTTCCTGTCCTCCCTGCCATGCTCCCGGCCTCCACGGAGGCCGCTGGTGTCACCGCTGCCCTGCCGGCTGCCTTGCTCCTTGCTCCACACAGCAGTCTTCCTCCCAGCTGCTGCCCGCTCCGACCGGCACCGCGTCGGACAGATGGTGCCAGCCGTGTACTCGCCGCCTCAGCCTGGCCCACATCCACTGCCAGGGCCCCACTGGCCCCTGCTGATGGGCTCCGGCACCTCCTCATTTCTGGTGCCATGCCTGGGCTCAGCCGCTGGGGTGGTCTCGCCCTCCTCACAGGACGCCGTTCAGCCGCCGCAGGGGGGTTAACAGCAGCATCAGGAACCCCCAGTTGTTGTTGGAGCCAGGCCATCCCCCTGTCACGAACTGCTGCTCTCACTCCTGCCAGGATTTCATCCAGTGAAGCCATGATCTGAAAAAGAAAGGAAAAGAATCCCCACAGACCTGCCAGAGACAAATTACAGGTAAGTGCAGATTCTGATTAAAATGGCCACTTGCTAAAATGGCTGCTTAATATACTCCTATCTACTCCACCCCTTTTTACACCTCATTTCTAATACCCACCCCTAATTCTTTAACTCCACCTGCCTACTCCTTGGCTCTGTCAAGGCCCACTCCCCTGACTGCGCTGTTCCATGGGCTTCATGACTATGAACACAAGAAAAAATATATATTTATATTGTATCTTATATTTGTGGCATTCATCTCATCTTATTAGATTTTACATACTGTAAGTATAGAAGTATCTGTCTTTAACTATCCAATTCCTACAAATTATAGAATAGTCCACCGTTCTGTTCCCTGTTCCTATTGTGCTGGTGTGTCTAATGATATACTCTCTAATTATATACTCCTTATTAACATTTAGCAAGGCGCTCTTGATAGTAACACTATGAAGGAACTGATCAATCAGTCTTTGGGCTGGTACCTTGTGTTATGTCCTTTACAGTCACATGGTCATGTATCTGCCTTTTCAGTTTACGTTATAAAGCTTCAAATTGGTTCAGGGGATAAACAATAATGGCTAGAAATGATTACTTTAGTCACAGTTTCTTCGATTTAATGCTGTGAAAGCTTCCACAAAACCTATTGCATTCTCCTACACAAAGCAAAGAGCTTTTACGGTCCCAATTCAGTACAGTCAGCCGTGACTTTTATGAATGTCTGAACGTCTTGCAGATTTTTACTAGGCATGGGGACAAGAATAAAATGCTTGATACACTTGTGTGTTTCCTCTCTTTCTTCTAAGATTAAAAATAAAGTGTCCTTTCACTAGACCGAGAGAATTGTGAGGAGTTGAGAGTTGACGTGGAATAACTATTCCAAAATTCAGATACTGATTTGAAGATCCTTTTTTTTTTCAACGCAGTACAACTGTCTGTATAGTAAACAGAGCCGTAGAAGCTTTGAATGAGCTCCAATATAAAAAGATTGAATAAATGCACCTCTACGGGAAAAGTTCAAGGTCTCCATGCAGAGCGTGGAAATGCTGAACGTTAGTGTTGCAACCAAAAATCACTTCTAGTGGCCGTCTGAGTGACGGCTAGGGAGCAATGTGAACACTGCCTTTTCTCTGATAAGGCAGTGTTTACAGCAGTAAGCCTTCAGGGACAGGATATAAACACCAGAACAACTGCATTAAGCTGCAGTTGTTCTGTTGACAATAGTGTCACATTAATATCAGCAGGGTATACAACTAGTTTAAAATCCATTATCATAACGAAAAAGTATATCACAAAATGAAACATTAGTCCTATCTATACCTTTCTATTAAAGGGACACTGTAGGCACCCAGACCACTTCAGCTAATTGAAGTGGTCTGGGTGCTGTGACCCTTTTACACTTAGTGCTGCAATGTTAAACATCGAAGTTGCAGAGAACTGTAATGTTTACATAGCAGCTCTAAGTCGGCCAGACAGCCACTAGGGGGCGCTTCCGGAATCCTAACACACTTTTGGACCGTTATCTGACACTAGACGTCCTCACGGACCTCCAGCGTCAGATTTTCCCCATAGGAAAGCATTGAATAATGCTTTCCTATGGGAAGGTCTAATGCGCGTGCAGCCATTGAAGGATTCCTTTAATGCTGGGGCACTGTTTAAACAGAATAACAAATTATGGTTACTGCATGCAAATTTCTTTTCTGGAAATATCAAACTTAAAGAGACCCTCTGGGCATCAATACAACTCTTGCGTTTTAACTTTATCAATATGCTGTATTTTTTATATTTTGCATGCTCATAGTGTAATAGCTATTGCATAGTAAAAATGTAAGTGCCCAAATGCTTTGCACAATGCAGCACCATAAACCGTCCTCCTTAGCCACACACCCTCAAGCCAGAAAGATTTCCTTATCATATGTGTGCCCACGGCTCAGCCCCTAACAGTACTGCATGAGATACTTTTTTTTAACAACCTGGATGCAGACAGTCAGAGAAATTGCAAACAGATTGTTGTATCTTTAATAAATTTATAGGTGTCCTCTAACAGGAGTCTAACAGCTTGGAGAGAGGAGGCAGTTAAGCCTAAGACTCAGACTATAAAGGAAAAGGTACTGTGGAAAAGTGAAAATCGTGATCCGAGGCGAACGGAATACAGGGAAGAACACTTTGTGGCACCGGCTGCAGGGGAAGGAGTTTGTGAAGGAATATGCTCATATTCAGGAGATCCAAGTCACCAGCAGCCACTATAATCATAAAACTTGCATTGTTATATATTTCCATATCACCTAGAACCATCTACCCAAGGACCAACCAACTCTGCCCATTGGATGTATGTATATTCAGTAGGATATATTTGAGGAATCTAAGTCTGAAGACTCACCATCTTGAAAGTTTTTTCTTTAATAGCAAGTTCACCTTTTTCAGATCCAAAATCATTCTCCATTTCTCTGATGGCTTTGAGGGCAGGCATGGTATTTCCTGGATTTTCTGATATCCTTAGAACTTTATCTCTCGAGCTATCTCAGGCTGCAATATATATAGACAGATATATACAGATATGTATTGGTAGGATTGTGCCATAAGACTTTATTTACCCACAGAAATCTCACTTTAATAGTGCTCTCACTACTGCAAGGGATTCTGGGTAGACAAATGCAAATGAGCTCAACAAAGAGCTAAATGTTTGCCTCATAATTCCACTTTATCCATGCATTCCTTGGAGAATGTGTCTGCTTTGAAACACAACTCAGGAAGATGTTCAAAGCCAGTGAACCACTCATGGACAGCTGTTTCGTTGTTAATTCAACTCCTCAGCATGAGGTTGGTTACTGGCTTGCAATGGAGGCTTGGCGTTACTTGTTAAGTACATACCAAATAAGTTGTGGTGGGGAAAAAGTGTGGATGAAATCCCCTTCCGCTTGAAATAAGTGTATAGTTAATGCAATGTTAAACACAAATACACACACCGGGCATTCTGGGTAGGCAGACACATACTCCAAGGAATCTATGTATAAAGTGGAAGTTTGAGGCAAAATGTGGTTCTGTGTTGAGCTCATTTGCATATGCCTACCCAGAATCCCTTGCAGTAGTGAGAGCACTGTTAAAGTGAGATTTCTGTGGTAAAAGCAAGTCTTATGGCTTGCCTGGTGTGTGTATTTGTGTTTAACAATGCATTAACTATCCACTTATTTCATGTGGAAAGGGTTTTCATCCACACTTGTGTATGTACACCTATATTTAGGTATAGCCATAAGGATCTCTTATGATATAGGTAAAAATACTTTTATATCTGATTCTAGAGGTGGAGAAAGAGGGAACCATGGTCACCAAAAGACTACAGAGCAATTGAAATAATTACAAACATATGCCAGCAAAATAAAACTTGTTTAAAAACTTTAATATAGAATTATAGTAATTCCCTTACCATTATGATAAAGATCAGGGTTAAAACTAACATTTAGCAACAGCAAATTCATCAAACCATCCAGAAGGAATAACTATCTTAAAAAAAACATTTTCAGTGAACTTCCTTAAATATCCCTCTGGCCCTTTAAGGCAGTTAGCACATACTCAGTGCAAACCGCAAGACGATGATCAACCATTTTGGATTCTTAAGATTAAATCCCAAAGTCTGGATGATAGCCAATTGCACTAAAAATAGCACTAAAACACAATTTTTTTAAGGGAAAAGGCATGGAATAGGTCTGCCAGGGGACCCTGAAGTCTAAAGTTGAAAATAATTACTTACAAAGCTGAAATTGATCACGGCGGCCATCTTAGTTCACCCAACATGCACTTAAGGTAAAAAGGCTCCCTTATCACCTTAATTTTCGATTTAAAAATTGTAGAATTTAGTCCAGTAAAGTCCAATCTTCAATTACTATGAGCTGTCATAGTAATCTTAAAGGGACACTGTAGGCACTCAGACCACTTCAGCCCATTGAAGTGGTCTGGGTGCCAACTCCCATCACCCTTAACTCTGACCATGTAATTATTGCAGTTTTTATAAACTGCT